CCCAATCTCATCTGAGACACTGTTTCTAGCAAGCTGGCTCTGGATTTCGAATTACGCTTCCGTTATATCAGTGCAACGGCTCCCCAAAGAATGTGAGGCCCTCTAGCGGCACGAACAGGAACTTATACGGCGGATTAAACAACAAAAGGAAGAAACAGACGGCCGCTTCGACCGACTAGAAACGCTCCTGCAGCAAAAACTACAAAACATCTGCCAGCCCCCTATGACCACAAGCAACGCCCATTTACGCTAAGGTCACCAAGGACCCCTATTCCGTCACACGCATCTTCCAGTGGAACTGCCGTGGTCTCAGTGCAGTTGCATCAGGACTCAACCTTTGACTGCGAAAGAACCCCATACCCGCGCTTCTCCTACAAGTATTAGACCCCCGACTGAAGACTCGACATTAGGGCTACAAATCATACTTCGTACCCACCATCGAAAAAAGGCATGATGCGAGATGGAAGAAGATCCCAAGCGACCCGGGTGCGCCAAAAGCGAGGGGCTGGCAGCTATCTGCGTAAAGGCGTCGATACCCCAGTGGTAACTGGCCACAGAAGACCCTTACGACTCATAGCGAAGTACTAGCGGTGGTCGCTAAATTTGGCAAGACGCGTATCCCTCTCGTCTCCGTATATATACGACTGCAAGAAACGAAAGCATATAACATGGACTGGCTTCAAACGCTACGCGGTCGCATCACAACCACACGCACGCTAGTGGCAGGAGAATTTAACACTAGGCACACGGTGTGGGGATATCCCAATACGACAAGAAGAGGATGAAAGCTGGTAAAGAGTGAAGACTATATACAAAGCCGAACTTCTGCTCCTGAATCAAGTAAAGGAACCGACACGAGCTGTGAGTATACGGAAGCAGAACACAACACAACGCCGGATGTAGCCTGGGCGTCACCAAAATTTAAAGCATCGTGGCAAAGTCTTCTGGACTGCAAGGACAGTGACCACTTTTCAGTCACTACTCACATCTCTAGATAGACCACCGAAGAAAATAGTAAATATAACCAAGTGGGACGACTTCGTGCGCACTACATACAGGCGTCCGGGACATTCATCGAGAAGATCCAACAAGCCAAGAAAAGTGCCACGCAAACCAATCGAATCCGACCTGAAGATGTAGTCTCGGTCCTTCACCTCTTAAACTTGCAAACACCGATGCTACTAGCGCTGTGTGGGCACCGACGACATAAACCTTTCTCACGAGTTCGCAGTAAATACCATAGAGCACTCGCTCGAGTGCGGAACTATACAAAATAACTGCGGTGGAAACAGTGGTGAGAACTCTGTGCAACGTTCTCTGCAACGATTGACCCAACAAACGTCTGGCGCGTGGTGAACGCTATGGATGCACACGACCGGCCAGAAACGCTGTTGCATCGCTTGCACTTAAACTGGGCAGCTCACCCGAACAGCTGGCGGCACTTCTTGGACCACAATGCTTCCCTACAAGCGCACAAGCTACAACGAACCCAGTGGAGAAATCATCTCCAACTACACCCAGCGTGCACGTAGGCCCGATAGACGAGCCCTTCACGCTTTTCGAGTTGCATTTCGCAGCAGAAAAGGCAATAAAAAGCGCACTGGGGTCGGACGGCACTACGTACTCAGAACTGAAGAACCTACCAGACGAGAGGCTGGAAGAACTCCTGGCATTGAACAACAATGTACGGGCAACCAGAGAAACACCGCAGGAATGGGAAAACCAGTCTTGGGTAAGTTACTTTCAACAAGTAATTCGTTACAGTTACAGTTACTTTCAGAAAAAAGTAGCGAAGTTACCGTTACAGTTTACTGCAACAAAAGAGTAACTCGTTACAGTTACTTTTAATATTTAACGACGTAACTTTTCAGTTACTTTTCTATAACACGAACAAAAAAAATTAGGAAAAGCTAGAAAACACCCCTCACCAAGTTTCATTGCATAAAATTAAGAAGTACGCTTTTTACTTCATATTGTAACTTAGCAGCAGCTGCTTCTCGAAATTAGTGTTTAAAAGTTTCCGCGCCCGAGTAGTGGTGCAAATCAAAATACGAAACATGCGCAGTGCGGAGTAGTGGTGCTAATCAAAATACAAAACATGCGCAGTGCGGAGTAGTGACGCTAATCAAAATATAAAACATGCGCAGCGCCCTCCGCCTGTATTCTTTCACGGTTGATTCACCGGATTAAAAGCGTTTGCACAGAAAAATTAAAAAAAAAACAAAAACATAGATAGTGCTTCAAGACACTAAGAAGTAAGTGTTCAGTCACAAAGTACAAGCGCGTGCGTAAAGATAACTAGATTTTTTTTTCATCAAATCTACACGTCGCTATATTCAGGTCGTGACTCGCGAGAAAGAACGTATTCACAAGTTTTTGCAAGGCCAACTTGACACTCGAAATGTCGGAACAGAAAATTTGGAAAGTGCGAGGAATATCTAAATTGTACTCGTTCAGTGATATATTATTCATAAAAAGCTGGAAAGTAACGACAAAAGTAACGTCGTTACTTTCATCGTTACCTCAGAAAAAAGTAATACAACTACAGTTACAAGTTACATTTTTAAAAAGTAACTCGTTACAGTTACAAGTTACCAGAAAAGTAATTAAGTTACAGTAACGCGTTACTAGTAACGCGTTACTACCTAAGACTGTGGAAAACTCGACGATTACGCCGGTTCCTAAGCCGGGGAAGCCGACTGACTCGCCGAACAACCCGCGGCCCATCTCCCTCCCCTCCACCGTTGCCAAGATCTTTGAGCACATGGGGACCATGCGGCTACGTTAATTTCTTGAACGTAACGAAAAGCTGGCGCTCGCGCAAACCGGTTTTAGGAAACACTTGTCGGCCCAGGATATCCGACCATGATCCACCAGAACACGGCAGACGCCCGAGGAAATCAACAAAAGATTTGCATCGTGTCCACTATCGATGTACACAAAGCGTTCGACAACGCCTCACCGACACTCATCGTCGACAAGCTTAAAGGAACGGGACGGGAGGTATGGTCGACAAACTCCCTCGCCACCTTCCTCAACAAGCGTATATTCGCGGTCACCGCACAGTGGGCAGAATCTTGACCGAGGGAACTTTAACGCGGTCTACCACAGGGTGCCGTCCTGACTCACCAGTCCCCTCTTATTCGACGTTCTTATGTCGGGCCTACCGGGTTTTCTGGACAGAGCCGAGCACTTGGACCACTCCCTGTATGCCGATGACGTCACTGTCTGGGCACGATCGGGCTCTATCGGACAGCAGCAACGTGCCATCCAAGAGGGCCTGGACATCATCGACGCATACCTCAACTCCGCGGGTGTTACCCCATATCCCACGAAATCGTCATACATTGTACTCAGAGGCATGTTCAAAAAGAGGCGGCACCGCTTCTCTAGGCTTCCCTTCTCGCGGGTCATCCACCCCCCCGAAATGAATCAAAAACCGTCCTCAGCCTTCCCATAAATGCCTGCAACGGCGGTAAGTTGTGGACGGCAGCAATGCATAAGCGGTAAAAAACACTCCACACCCTCATCTCCCGCAAAGCAGGACGATACTGTGGAAACCCGGAGTACACTCTCGAACTTCTGAACCGCTGGCTGGTAACGACGAGAATACTATATGCGATACCATTCCTGAGGCTCACCAAGACTCAAAAAGACAAATTAGAGGTTCTCAAAAGGCGGGGTGCACGGACGGCTCTGGGCCTACCTTTGGACACTGCGACGGAAGACCTCTGCAGGGAAACCATTCTCCACACATTCAGCTACTTGGTATACGATGTTCGCATCGGCCAAGTACAGCTCTTTTCGCTCACAAAGCCGGGCCGAGCCGTTCTCGAACGCATTTGATACCACCCCAAGCGCCACTCCTACCGGATCCCGACACCCCCTAGACGTCGCACACTGCCAGCGTGGATCCCATTCCTAAGCATGTCAGAGACGACGATCTCAATCGCCGGGCTTGTCAAGCTCGACGTCACGCTCAACATGTAATGGTTGACATCAAAATTACACATATATTCGCAGAGGCGTTCATCGGCCCTAATTCGACTGGCGTCGCCTTCTGCACAGATAACCAGGACAGAAGTGCCGGACGGCGAATAAACATACAGCTGACCCCAACGACAGCCAAGCTTCTAACCATAGGGGCAGTACTCGAGTATGTGGAGTCAAGAACCCGACGGTTCGCCTTTGCCACCGTGGCCGTACACACAGAGTGCCAAGCGGCGCTCAGACAAGTAGAAAACACCATTGACACCGAACCCGTGGTGCGAAACATCCGCCTTCACTGGACCGCCTGGCATCAAAGCATAGAATCAACGTTCGGCTCGAATGGGTGCTGGAAAACTAGCGGGCCAATCGGCTCGCACGGGAGGCAAGGTACAATGAAAGTCACCCACCACGTTGTTCTCCCCACGCAGCAACAGACGTACAAGATACCAACCTCAGTCATGTATTCAGTGCACTTCAAAAGGACCGTAAATAAGCACTTCTCAGGCTGCTGCTAAAGGAAAAGATTTCTCCAATCCCGACGAGTCTCACCAGGTTGTAAACTGTCACCCTCCATAGAATACACACCGGCACGGCGGTCACTCCTGCTCAACAGTACGTATATCGCCCAGATTAGATTGACCCAGCATGTCCGTACGGCCCTTCCTGGGCGTGGGCCACGCAACGGCGCTTTTTACGGGACTATCCTAGCCTAGCTACCCACCGTCATTGCGCCTGGCAGAAACTCAGAGGCGACGCGGGATGCCCATAAGCGGCACAATTCATTGAGGAGTGAACCTTCCCGACAGTGCCCTCACCACCACAAAGAGCAGCTTACAACGCACTCCTTTCCTTCATCCGATCTGCCGGTATAAAAGCACTTTTTTGAACACTCACTATCAGTTCTCCCTCCGCTTCTTTCCCTTTGCTCGATGGGACGACCATAGGACGAGGGGTCTTAATATTAATAAAGCAAACGTTTATACCACCACCCAATACCGGTAGCAAGAAGTCTACTTACTTTTGGCGAATCCTTCAAAGCGGCACATGAAGGAGCCGAGCACGTAGAAGGTAGACAGGCTATTCACAAAGTGCACCCACATGCAGAAGACGCAGATGAGGGCGTCCGCCACGGCCAGGTTGAGCAGATAGTAGTTGATGGTGGTCCGCATCACCCTGTTGGTCAGAACCGTCACGATGACGGCGAAGTTGCCTACCAGGGCCGCCACGATGGTCACAAGGTACACGGTCATCTTGAGGTACTCCTTCCAGGTGAAAGCCGAGTCCATGTCGTCCATGTCCAGGAAAGACGTGTTGCTGAAGTTGAACACGTCCAGGGGCTCCGAGGACCACAATTCCTCGGAGCAGTTGAGCTCGAGCTGAGCGGACACATCCATGCCGCCTGATCTGCCTGCTGCGTTGCCTGTCGTGGCAGCAGCGCCCGCGCATCAAATCACCTTGCGAGGCTGGCCGATGATTGGGGATCGCGGGTACGACGCCATAAAAGCTGGGCACGCCATTGTTCCTCGTTGTATGACTGTCGAAAAAAGTGACTCCCCGATGTGTCGAATGATGAATTTCACACGAACATTGCGATCCGTGCACGCAAGCATACGGCGTTCAGTTCATTTAGCTTCCCCGAGCGTTGCTATATTTAGGCAGACGTTTATCCAGTAAAGTTAAAGGAACTGCTTCTCACAGCGTTTTAAAATTTCGAACTTCCACTCGACACGCACACAAGTACTCTCAAAAGCTCTTTAACACTTTATGCCGAATCCAATTTCTTAGGAAGTTGCAATAAAAATAAAAATATTACAACATCTACAACGTTTTAAAATACACACATGGAAGTTACAGACAACTGGTCACACACGAAAATCACGGAAGAGCATCTAGAGCACAATTTTTGAAGAAGAAAAGCATCAACGTGACGGATGATGTTGCCAAATATCGCTTTCCGTTTAGCAGAAACACGAGAAGCGAACCTTAGCAGCAGCTTACTCCACCCGTGTGCGCATATTCCAACTGCCGGGAAAGCAAGCACGAGGTAGAGCGCCGGTTTCACTTTCGGCGAACGAAAAGTTTCAAACAACTTCCTCCCGCCAGGCGCCGGGAGCTCCTGAGAAGCACACTCACCCGCCGAACGTCCCGTCGCGCTTTGAAGCCACATCGCCGTTCCGAACCGCGCGGAGTCGAATACGATATTCCCGTGGCGGAGCGCCCTCTATTGCTAGTGCAACCAACCACACCGTCGCGCTGACACCAGGTCGGCATTTTTTCCCCCCGTTTTGTTTCTTCCATTGTTTATATTCCCCGCAATCTGTTCCTCGTTCCAGATTAGGCTTGTTTCCATTCTGTTCGGTTCGAGTTTCAAATTGAAATTGCATTGTTCCTATAGAAAGAAAAATCAAGAAAGACTGGAACGAAGCGGTCATGGGGCTATGGTCTCCGCAGTAGGAAGAGGAAAATATGCAGAAAACTCAGCAGAATAGCATGCCTTGTCTTCTTTTGTGTGCGTGTGTATGTGTGTGTGTAAATCAATCAGCGACGAAACTGACGTGGAGAATGGGCTGGAAACGATGAAAGATGATCAAAAGTCCTGCTTTGGCGGGATGGTGAGGGGATTATCTTCGTTACAATTTATTTTTTCCCTTGTATATTGTTTTCATCTTTGTCACCTTGTCAATTTACTTTCGCGGATCAAGAGGACTTAGTCGCTTTTGTCCCCTAAACGAGTGTTCACCCTCGCTGCTTGTTTAATCGTTTACGGATTTTAGGTAATTATTTTCGGCGTATAAAAACTAATTTGGCGATTTCTGCAGGAACTGGCGTCCATGTCTGCATTATTCAGACTGCACCCGCCTCCTATGGCCTATATAATCAGAACTGAAGAAAAATAGCGTTTTAAAATTAGGAAAGAACAAATTTTCAAACCAAAAAGACACAAAAGTATCGCGTTTGTTTGGCGTTTATATTTTCTTCAGTCACGCACGGTGTCCACCCGTAGATGTGGGGCGTTTTGACCGTTATTTGTTAAATGGTTCGTGATCTTGTACGGGTTCGGTCTTTTGTTTTTCTTTACTTTTGCCGTTCCTGTCTGGACCATCCACTGCATGTGTCTAGTGAGAATTAAATAAATTAAAGAATACAAAAATATACAAACACAAAATAATGAACGCCAATAACGATACAAATTTCATATGTAACGGCTCTGCTTATTTAAAAAAAACATGTGTGTTCGAATTCAGGTATGCAATCACAATGTTACTGTAATCGCGACCTCAAACACAAAAGGGAGGGGGCCGCATTTCCTTAAGGATAGTCCGCCTTTCTTAATGCAAAAATATCAAGCGCCTTCACTTTCCCATGAAGCACGACTAAGTCTATTATTGCAAAGTGAAAGATGGCAGCAAAAGAGCGCGCGGTCAGTCAACATAAGTGAAATGCTCAATATTCGGCGGCAGTCTGTTGTATTAGAGTCAAATGTTACTCTCAGTGTGTCCACATCCGCTTATCGCGATTCTTAAACCGCCATAGTTGACTCCGGGGGACTCGACAAGAAATTACATTCGCAGACCGTCTTTTTCAGTAGGTGGGACCTATTCGCGAGAAAATGCGACATCTTTTTTTAGACTTTGTTTCATGCTCAAAGTTTAACTGTTAACATAAGTTGTGTGTGTGTGTGTGATTTCTTTTTCTCGTTTTTTAAAAGCGAACATTCTTTTACGGCGTGACTAATGTTGTAGGTCTCAGAGATTGTTTTCACTCTTCTAAATCCACTGTAGTCACTAGATGTTCCTGGAGATAAACGAATATAATTCATAATGGAAGAGCGCGAATTTTATAGGAACAGGGGAAGGAACTGGACAGGACGAGCGCTGATATAATTCTACTCGTAAGAAAACATATTTTCAAATTCAAGTCCTAGAAATAAATGTGTCGCAAATTGTCCCGCGGTTGTGTTGCTAGTTTAAACGATCTTGGTTTAGCCCTAGTGGTGCTAAATAACTGTCGCTAAACCAAGTTTTTAGAGCACTAAAGTAGTAGTTTCAGCTAGTTAATACCTCAACATGATAAAGCAAGGCCACATAATAAAACAGTGTGCCGTTTTATCATATTGAAGTGTTTAGTATAGGTAGTGGTGAGTTAGTGTCGGTTAGGGTCAGAGTTAGAGTTAGAGTTAGCTAAAGTTAGTTAGATTTAGCGTTAGAGTTACTTGGAGTTGGTTAGATTGAGTCAGTGGTGCAAACTCTAGTAACTCGCTGTTACGCTTTTTTTTTTTTTTTTGCTTCACTTATTTTGAATATATAACCTTAAAACGTTTCACGTTAAAAACACAAATTTCGACCAGCTGGCTAGTTCCCTAATCGAATAAACTTCACAATGAGCAAGAAAATGTGCACTTATTCCCCAAATGTTTCCTACTATGGGCCGTTGCAGTTACGCCCTTATATAGTCACTTTCAAAAACGCAGAGCGTGCATTGTTATGTTCTTGGTTCGTAATTGGTCTTTCGGCGTTGTTCTACGTGAATGCCGAAATCTACTTGGTGGCGGAGCAATAATAAGGTTCTCGGGACTTGCCACACCCTGCGTTTCTTGAGATGTAGGTTACTATATAGCTTCGCTATTTCCCGAATTATTTATTCGTCCCGTTTTATCGCTTGTATACTGCCCATGTACGTTCTTAATAAATTATGTAACCTTCGCGAAATCCCCTAAGCTTAAACTCGCGTGTTTGCTCACGGTGCGGGGCTGTGGCATTCTAAAGTGAACAATATTCTCAATTGTATTCTTAAAAAAATGACATTTAATTAATTTTTTTTTTTTTTAGGAGCACGATTATTTTTAACTATTTTGAAATGCGAAATATTTTAGTATGAAGTTTTCGTAGACCGCGTTTCCCCCTCCGCTAAGCCCTCCGCAACGAAGAACTGAGCCTGCGGGCCGGGGGCCTTGACTGTAGAGTCACGGGTATCGTATCGGGTCGCGGAGAGTGTGGCGGGACGGCCCAAAACGATCTACAAAAACTCCCTACTCTTTCTTCCGGGAGATAACGATACTCCGGTATTTTCGGACGCACAACCGTAAAACAACGTATGAACCGTCCCGCACGTAGAGACAGGCCGCCCGTTTTAAGCGTTCTCCCCGTTTCACGGGGTATGAGATAAGAACTTGAGCTTACAATGCTCCTAATATGTTCAATCAGCTTCCAGAATTTGCCGTCCTCCTAAAGTCTAAAACAAAACTGAAAAAAAGAAAGATGGCTCAGCTTTTTTATGTTGGACACGGTGTAGTTTTTCTTTGTTTGGCCTTCGGTTCTGAATCAGCCCTGAATTCAGCGTTTTTATTGATGATGATTTTATTTCTGAATCAATTTCGGATTGAGTGTTTGTATTAATTTGTGTTTAACTCGTGGAATTTGATTTCTATTGTTTTATTTCTGGCTTGGTTTGGTGACTTCACGGGTCTCCCTCTCACGAGCCACTACAGGCTTTGACGGGTCCGTTAAACCCCTTTTTTATCACAACTCTTGGAGTAAATATTATTACTATTATTATTGTGGTTGTCACTGTTATTGTTATTGCTGTTGGTATTGTTGTTATTACTGACGCTGTTAATGTTATTTTTGTTCTTGTTGTTGTTACATCACAAACAAAGGAGAGACAAGGCAAACAGTTGCATGTTTACAGCTTGACCAGGCCCCGCTCCCCATAGTAATATAATTTATCATCATCATCATCATCATCATCATCATCATCATTTAATTAACTTCGAAATATTAAGCTTGCCAAGTAGCTGACGGTTAAAAATATTTAACCGAGATCAGTCGCGAGTTAGGGAGAAACCTGCGCTCAATAAGAAGAAACAATTCCTACACAGCAACTTTACGGGCAGAGGATGCGGATAGCAATTACTGTCACAAAGATAAATGGGCGAACGCGGACGCCCAAAAGGTGCCTTAACCGAATTATACACCTTTGTTTCTTCATTTATTTATGTATTTATTATACCCCAAAGCGCCCTTTCGGGAATTGTACGAGGGGGGAGTTACAAAGGTCAAGAAAGTACGACATCATAACACATATGATACCTAAGTCGTAGGAAATCAACAAAAGGAAACCAGAATTAATTATTACAATAGTATACGCATGTCAAGCGAAAACTAAGAACAACAAACAAAATATATATCGCACACAATATTCATTTTGGGATAATGTGGAATAATATTTCGCATGAAGATTGGAAATTCCCTTTATCTGCAATTTCTACTATACACTGAGATAAATGGTTCCAGACTGAAATTGCAAGCTGTAACGGGGAGCTGCAAAATTGGTTAGTGCTAAAATGAGGTGGGCAAAGTTTATGAGCATGATCATCTGTCAAAAATGCGATGGG